GTTGTGCTGTTCTGTTGTAAATAAATCTTAACCAATGATTCCTAATTGCATCTACTTCTGGAAGGCCAAATAAAGTGCTTTTGCTTTCGCACTGAATCACACAGCGTCTCCCTGATGTGGCTGCATCAACACTACCGCTGTTCCTGAAACTTCGCCTTCTTTCTTTGCGTGCACATTTAGGCAGCATTATGCTAATATTTCCACATAGTGAGGTAGATATGTGGGGGCGTGTTAGAACGAGCCGTTTTAGGTAGGTGTGGCTGACTCTTAACTTTTATAAAGAATATCTCTTTGGATTTGAGACGTTAGTCTTTGCAACTTTACAGATCTTCTTTATGCACCAAGAGCTTGTAACACTCCAAAGAGAAAGGAAAACTTGAAATCGCATCATATGACCCCTTTAAAAACGTGGATTCATTAATGAATGATCAGAGACGCACAACAGTTCTCCTAGGGCTTTATTTTCGTTGGTGCCCAGCATTGTGTGATTATAAACTTGCAATTGTGAGTTATTTAGTCTGAATTGGGAGTTATAAACTTGCAATTCTGAGAACATATAGTCCTTTTTCCTCCTCAGAACTGGATTTTATAACTCGCAATTGCTAAGCCTATCTCACAATTCTGAGAAAAAAGTCAGAATTGCGAGAAACAACCTCGCAATAGCGAGAAAAAAGTCGCACTTAACTTTTTTATTTTTTTATTCAGTGACAGAAACGGGCTTCCATAGAAAGCGGTTTAAGTTATGATGCTTTTTATACTTTAAGAGCCTATGTTATAAAATGAAAAAGTTTGGATAATCAATAATGTGTCAGCTATGCCACTCACATAATTTAATGTGTCTCACATTAAATGAAAATTACTACTCTCATTGACTGTTGTGTTTGGAGCCACCGCCTGTAAGTGTGTGTGTGTGTGTGTGTGTGTGTGTGTGTGACTATCAGTCATCATCATACACTGGTCATCATTAGACACACGCAAGGGCGCACAAGCTTCTGTACAAGACTCGCGGAGGATAATCTCTAGACAGGTACTTCGCTAAAGGCTGAACTGATTGAGTCAAGGCCTTTAGCGTTTTAGACTCCGAAGGCTGACTGGCACTGATACCCTAACGTTACTGGCATTGAGATCTTATATAGGGAAGCCACTTGAATGTTCGGTAAAAAAAAAGAGTTTATTTTTGTAGTGTTTTATTTTATCGTTAGTAAACGCGTCGAGTAAATCTAAGAAAGTACTCGGAACCTCATTTTTTTCCCTGTTCATCTGGGTAAGTCGTGTTTTTAAACTTTTAAGATATCCTTTTTGTTTCGGTAACGTTACTGTTGTCGTTAACTTGCTTTCTTTTAGTCTTTTGATGTAAGTTAGCGGATTGGTACATCTGCTCTCTTCCGCTATCTCGCCTTTCCAGTTGAACGAAGTGTAACTTTAAAGTATACAATTTATTATTTTTTTGTTTTGTTAGTCTTGTAGTTTGGAGATAAATAATATCCATATAGACAATAGTGTAATATTAGTCTGTATGCTAAAGCTGTATTTTGTCACATATGGAACAAAAGCAACAGGTGACTGAAGACTTCAACTAAGCTAAAACAACCAAAACATGTTTTAGAATAATAATTACGTTATTACTATCCGTAATGGATTGGATTCAAGGATTTACAGGGAAAAAAAGTAATTACTTTATAATAATTCTATTATTAGGCGCTAAAAATACAATTGTAGCTAACCTGTTAGCTTGCTAGCTCAAGAGGCTGTCTTGGATGTCTGGTCAGTGTTTGTTGTTGTAGGTTATGATTGATTATTTGGGCCTTTTATGTGCACCCGAATCTGTCTGGCATGAATTTGAAAGAAAAACTAAAAGAGATCAGAAAGAGAAGAGATATGCACTAACATCTGTTTGCTCCTGAGTGAAGTTTGTACAACAAATCACTGCAACATTTCTTCCTCTCATCATGAGTATGGAAATATTGTAAAACCTGTTCCTCCAGCCAGAGGAGAATAAGTCTCTTTCAATGTCAAGATAACAAAGGCAATTAATTCAATTAAGCTTCATTAACCTTCTAAATGAGCACTTGACATTGGTCTAATGAATTCCTGGTAACAACACTAATCTTAAATTCACTAGGTTTATTTATGTTGAAATTATGTTCTAAAACCGTGATACTATGTAGTATTGCATATAAATGAATTCTATCTGTCTGTCTGATCTGTTGTTTAGCCTTTTGGTCAGTATTTGTTGCTTTAATTGGACTGAATGAATTGTACTTGGTTTCTCAGGAGTCGAATGGCCTCTGTTGTTACAGTGAAGACAGAGAAGCGTCCTTCCCATGACTCTGAGGATGGCGACACAGTGGCTAAGAAGGCCAGGTATGAAAACAACAGATGTTCGTGTCTTGCTTTGCTGCCAGCACATTCCCAGGGCGAGCCAAATATTCTTCATTGAAGTCAGCTCCTGTTTGCTGACCTGTTCTGATGAACATGTGATCTTTCAAAGACCTGTACTTCCTGATAAGAATGACTTTGCCAGATAGGTTTTTCCTATTCTTTGAAAAAAATGATAGTCCACCCAAAAATGAAAATTCTGTCATCATTTACACACCCTCATGTCATTCCAAACCTGTGTGACTTTCTTTCTTCTGAACAAGACAAAACAAGATATTTTGAAGAAAGCTGGTAACCAGTTTTGGTTCCCATTGATTTCCATTGTACTTTTTGTCCATACATTGGAAGTCAGTGGGATTTGAAACCATTTTGTTACCAGCATTATTCAAAATATTTTCTTTTGTATTACCCGTAAGAACACAAAAGAAGATATCTTCTTTTGTGTTTCCTTTAAAGCGTAGAGGATTGGATGAAACCGATTTTGAAAGAATTAGAAATAATTATTTTAAACACATCAATACAAGTTACACAAACCAGTGGTTTTAATTACATTTAGACATGTTCAACATTTAAGAAGTTTGCAAAAATCATCAACATCATAGAGAAGAAATAGGAAACAGCTAATGAGGTTGACTTTTTTTCTTATAGTTAAGGACCTCCTTTTACTGATTGTTTGTTTAAAAGTTTCAGATCATATTTTTGAAGTCAGGTTAAGCCATGCTTTGCATGCAACTTTGTAGCATAGTTCCGTCCATATGCGTGTTTCCTCTGACCTGATTACATTTCCTCCTGCTCGGCTGACTAAAGGAAGTTGTTGCCCAGCCTGAAGACCAAGCGCGCCCCTGAGCTGGTGCTGGTGATCGGCACGGGGGTGAGTTCAGCCGTAGCTCCTCAGGTGCCGGCGCTGCGCTCCTGGAAAGGTCTGATCCAGGCGCTGCTAGATGCTGCCAATGACTTTGATCTGCTTGAGGAGGAAGAGAGCCGCCGCTTCCAGAAAAGTCTGCAAGAGGACAAGAACCTGGTGCATGTTGCTCATGACCTTATCCAGAAACTTTCACCGGTAAGATGTTTTTTTCATTTTCTTACTACTTGTATACAAAAATTTAAATTGCACATAAGGCAGTTTTTATGTTTAATGATATAATTGTTTCTACTCCAGTTCATTGTTCTTTAATAATATTAAACAACAACTGGAAATATTGAAATATTTATATTAATTAATCTTGAAACACCGATTGAGCAATTACAAGAAACATTTCAGTATGTTTTACTGTTTCTTTTAACATACCTTCTCATGTTTGTTTATTTTGTGCAATAACCAGTAGTAAAGAGGAAGAAATGGTTGGTTCACGTGCTGCTTCGACTGACTCTCTCTCTCTCTCTCTCTCTCTATATATATATATTTATATATATTACTTATTTATTATTTTTTCATGTGTTAAATAAAGTGTCAATTAGGGCTGTGCAAATAATCAAATGCGATTTTCATGCGCATCTTGTCAGTAAAGCCGCTCCTGTGATTAGTAGTAAATCTCCAGCACGTGCGTTCAGATGGAGCGGCATTTACTACACAGAGCCGTAGTTCACTGACAAGCTACGCAATATCGCTTTCAAAATCGGCAATGATTTACTACTAATCACAGAACCAGCTTTACTGACGAGATGTGCATGAAAATCGCATTCGATTATTTGCACAGCCCTAGTGTCAATGGTACATTAACAAGCATGCATTTGGCAAAAGATATTAGAAATATTAACATTTAAACGGTGGATGTCATATAACTACATTCCATGGATACATACAAAATGCTCCTTTCTTGAGTTACATTTGTCTAGTTGACTATCAAGTTATAGACAGTGAATGGCTTTTTTGAGGTGAGTGTAACTGTTACATAACATATAGTTTATAAACTGTTCAGTTGACATCTTGATTGAGCTATTACATGAAACACTTCAGTATATTTTACTATTTCGTTTAAAGGTGGGGTAAGTGATTTCTGGTAGCCAATGTTGATATTTCTGTCTACACTGGTTGCTGTGCGGCGCGACAAATCCCCGACAGAAAACTGCTGCTGCGTTCTATTTATGACGTATTGACACAAATTTCAAATGATTTTCAATGGTCGCTTTATTGCGTCCAGTGTAGACAGACTTTAGCTGTTGCGGCGCGGCATGTCCGGCGAGTCGTGCACTTCACACTAGAGTTTACTGTACGTTAAATACAGGTGCGTTGCACATGCATTCAGATGAACTGAAAAACAGCACAGATCGCTTGGCGGAGAGTGAAACTGATGCGCTCAGTCAGAGAGTGTTCGGCGAGTGAAAATATATCTGTGCTAAACTTAT